CATTCTTTGGTGGGATTGTCAATGAAGTAAACGTATATTTGCTATAACAATCGACTAAAATACTTTTTTTTCGTATGTAATTAGAGTTTCGAGACTACCAACTACCGTGGAAAGCAAGGCAATGTGAAATTCAATGGAACCTTCAGCTCTATTCATATCATTGTGGGTTAATTCTACTACCAGTCCTTCATTACCTTAAACGGAATAGAGTGAATACGTCTCATATTACTGATTTACTGTTAGTCTTGAAACTCTACTTACATACAAAAATTAAGTAATGTAGTCGATTGTTATAGCAAATATACGTTTTTTTTATCGAAAATCCCACCAAAGAATGTGATATGGGAAAAGGCCTTGCCTTCCTCGAAAGTAACATGTGTCTTGTGGACCAAAAGCAAGTCCTTCATTACTTTAAATTAAATAGGATGAATACATCTCATATTAATTAGCTTAAATAAAAGTACCATGGCCTATATGAAAGTTAATTAACCAAACCATTTCTATCAATCTATGGCTATACATTTTCGTTTTTCACTTATGAGTGTATATAAGAGGTAAGCTAGTGCTATACAGTCTTCCTGATCTTGTGTTAACTTGCGACTTTTACAAGATTGAGTTCCAGCTCTGACGATGTCCATCAGCTGATGGACGAACTCTCAGCTCCTCTTCACACGAAACCAGGGAGGATGTCTCGGAGGCTGCGTCAACCTGAACGTCGTATCAAAGCCAAGCACGGCTGCAATACTTGGCGAATGAGCCGCCGTCTTCTGCCGAGATCGACCTTTGAATCTCTTCTTCATGCCCTTTCGCACGAATTGAAAGTCTCCCCGGCAATGCCTAACAAGTGGCAGTTTTTCTGACTCCTCTAAGCATTTATCTCAGGTTGCCATGATCATTTTTGCCTAAATCTCCTTCCAACCGCAAGCTTGAAATGGGCATTGCCGGCGAAAACGCACCAAGTCATTCTAATACCTGCCCTTTGCTTTGCGACCTGCTTCCCGCGGGCATAATCGCTCAGCGGGCTGTGTACATGATGGCCTAATTAGCTCTGGCCCTGAGTGGCCTGGAACCCTTGCCTCATACTGGTTCAGACAAGTTGGTTGTCCCGACCCGGGCCTGGGCAACTGCTCTCTCATTGGCCAGACAAAGATACGCCGTCCTGCTGATTCAACCGAGCCCTCCACTTTTTGCCCCGTCTGCATGGGCTCGGGACAAGAAGGGAGGGGCGTACCGGCAAAAGTCTGAAAGAACACGGCATAAGAATGACGGCAGAGCGGTGAGGATTGTCCGACGCGAGTGAATGCAAATTCCCACCTCAACGGCAGGGCGTTTATGACGAGCGAGCTGTAAAAGACACTCTCAAGTCCACAGACTAGCAGCCTCTTCTCCAACAGAGCCTAGGAATTTGGAATTACTTTCCTCTTGTCGGTGCTGACGTTTGCAGTAGTTGTTGCCGAAATTGGGCAGAGACTTTTAGGTTGGCTGGTCTGTTGTACGTGGAGTGTGGGCAGCAATTGGCCTCCTAACCTTCGGGAAGCAACGCCTCGTAGATTTGCAAGAGTTTATACGTTAGCAGCATCCAACGAACTTAAGACATAAAGGCAGAATTGGGTGCTATTCATTCCATAAAACAAGGTTGGCTTTTAGAGAGACTTCAACAAGAAAATTTTCAAATCCAAACATGGGATTTCATCCCGCAATTGGGAATTATTTATCATATGTAGGAGGCAATACTCTCACTCCTCGACAGATATGAAAGGTACATTTGGAAGGTTAATAGCCATAATCTTGCGTCAGAGTTTGAGACAAGGTGGGCAGCCTGTTGCTTTAAGTATTGAAAGTTGAACACTCTACAATCAACACAGCGGAAGTTATGCTTTTATTTCTTGCAATTTTGGTTAAGAATGAACCCTATTTCGTGACAGTCCACACTTGTTGGAGAAGCAAAGCTATATGAAATTAAATTAAAATGTCATCTCTACTCGTATCATTGTAGGAAAATTCTACTACCAGTCCTTCATCACCTTGAACGAAATTGGGTGAATACATCTCATACTACTGATTTACTGGTGGTCTCGAAACTCTACTTACACACGAAAAATAAGTAAGAACTCAATCAGCATAGGTCTCTTAAGGTGAGTCAAGTTCATAAATGAGTTTCTACTACAATGAGATGAGTAGACCTCATAATACCATCGAGTGTTACTCAGCTTTGACTCTGTTTTCAAGACTTGGTCGTATTATCAGGGCGACCTTCAAGGAACACAACTTGTCTGGAGTCCATAGTATGCATAATAATTTCCAAATTCGGACCACGGACTTGGTACATTCCCAAAAGTTTCGCCTGTATTGTAATCGGCATCGTCGGTACGTCTTGCCATTCTTGGCACCATGCCACAACTCTTCGAAGAGACACGTGAACTCGATGCTTTGACCAAACGTGTGCTAAACAGTTGTGATATCTGTCCTTCTGTCCTGATGCATTCCCTGATCATTCCACCTCGTAATACCCCTTTCTTTTTAAACCTAGTTCAGGTGTGCCCTTTGGAACGAATTCTGTGAGCCGCCCATTCACACTCACACAATCCGCAGAACTGGGTTTAAATAGGCAAGTAAAAAGGTGTGTTAATGAAGGGGTGCTACTAGGATAAAGGAAGGAGAGTTATCACGACTGTTTAGCAGAAAATTTGTCATGAGATTGACTTTTCTTGTTTCTTTAACCAATCGTAGTATGGTGCTACGATAGACGAGGCTCACTGACGATACCGGCCAATCGTCTGGGAATGTACCAAGTCGACGGACTGACTGAAAATTATCATGCCTTCTACGAAGTTGAGAAAAGGTGTATTCTGACAAATTTGCGAAAACTAAGTCAAGCATCTTCTATACAGAGAAATGAAACCACGACCAAACTATATGCCAGACCAATTTGGTCTTCATACATTTTATTGTACACAGCTTTGCCGCAAAAAAGGCTGTCTCACTCAGGGTTGACTGCAGTTTCGATATCGCCCAGGCCTGATCAGCAAACCCAGAGGTATTCTGTACCGTGTTACAAATGGCGTGGTGACGTTACCGCCCCAACACACAGCCACGGTTGCCAGTGGATATCAGGGCAGATTCGACATTCAAGGCAAACCACTCCTGTCAAAAATCACATTTGTAATCGTGAGAATGTCGATTGAGCAAACGTGTGTTTTTCGTATTTGAGTAGAGTTTCGACATCGACAATCCCACCAAAGAATATGATATGGCAAAAGGCCTGGCCTTTCTTGAAATTCACATCGGCCCTGTGACTCAAGGGCACTCGTGGCAATGTGGCCGAATGGTTAACGTATCAAGATCACATTCTGCACTGTCACGGTTCTAATCCCGCTTGGGGTGTTGATAAGACCTAGGCGTGGTAGAAATTGCAGTCCACCTCAGCCGGGATGATAACAACTTTTGGGAAAGCAAGTCAATGTGAAATTGAATAAAAAACTCAGCTATACTCATATCATTGTGGGAAAATTCTACTACCAGTCCTTCATCACCTTAAACGAAATAGGATGAATTTATTTCAAAAACGTGTGTTTGTCATTGCAGTTACTTAATTTCCATTTAAGTAGCTCTCGAGGCTATGGGACATTCTGGAATAAACAAAAAAGCTATTCATTTGGAAAGTAACTTCGTTGATTTCACTGTTAAGCACATGTCTGCTAAATCCGTCATTCAACTACAAAAAATGTGGATAGAAAGATCAAGTTGTTGTGGTCTTTATTTTGGTCGCAGTCTTCTTTAGATGTATACAGGTGGTCTGACCTCGTTTTTGCGATTTGGTCGTGTTATCAGGACGCACGTTGTTCGAAATCCCCTCCTCTAATAGTTATTAGTATTCACAGTGTTGAACCCTGGACTTGGTACATTCCCAGACGTTTCGTCGGTATCGTCAGGGAGTCTTGTCAGTCTCAGCACCAAGCTACAACTCGTCATAGGGACAAGTGAACTCAATACCTTGATCAACTTCTACCGAAACAGTTGTCTTATCCCTCCTCTTTCTGTCCTGGTCCATCTATCAACTCCCTATCCTCTTATCGTACGCCCGCCCTATGACAACTTCTGACTTTTCTATATTGCACTACTCAGGAGGTGTGTCCTTTTGGCAAATTTGGTGTGGCGCTATCAGACCTGTTGTTTACATTGCCCTACTTTATTTTCGATTTGCTGATGCGAGTATCATATAATTACTCTGCTAAATACTCACTCACTCCGAGCACAACA